TCAGAGGCCACCGCTTTCACCATGGATTACACGTCAGCATTAAGAAAATAAGAAACCGTCACTGCAGGACCTGTAACACACAACATCACGAAAATGGAGAAGAGATTGAAGTTGTTAAAGGGTTTTCTTTTACTTGGGATCCATTATCAGTTTCCATGGAAACAGCCGTCAAGCACTTAAAAGATGTGTTGTGTTGGACAGCGAGATCCGGGAGCTTTCAGGGTAAGGAATTGCACTGTCAAGGCAAAGGTCGACAGTTCAAATCCACCAGCTGCTCTGTGGGAGAAAGACACTCTGCACCCATGAATTACCTGCCTCTGAATACTCACAGGGGGTCAGCTAGGAGTAGGCTGCAACTTGACAGTGCACAATAACAACATTGTGTTGGGCATATGAGCTGCAAGGAACTTCTTTAAAATGCTAAGTAGCAAAGATTCTTCACTTTGAAGACTGAGGTGAACCTGACCCCAGCCCAGGAATTTATTTTTTTTTCAGTCGCCTAATATGCATATGAAAGCTGGATAACAAATCAGAAAGACCAAAGAACAAGTGATGCCTTTGAATTGATGGCGCTGATGAAGCATACCAAGTGCCCTGTCAGGCAAAGGCGCAGATCTGCCTTGGATGCAGTACAGACAATGTTCCTTAGAAGACAGGGTGGGAAGTCTTTGTCTCGGGGGAGCTTTGGACTTGTTATCAAACAAGACTGGTCCCTGGAGAAAGCCTTCATGCTTAGTAAAGTGGAAGATCAAGGGGGGAAAAAAAGATGAAGACCCTCAAAGGAATGAACGGACTCAGGGATTTCAACAATGGAATCAACCCCAGCGACGGTTGTTTTAAGAATCGAGCAGGACGGGCAGTGTCTCCTTCTGTTATCTGTGAGGTCACTTATAAGTCAAGGAATCTGGTGGGGTTTTTTTACAAAAATTTTTTATTATGACTTGGATGAATGTTTACAGAGCCAGCTGGTTTTCCATTCACCCCTTCAACCCCATTGTGTTTTACAACTGATGGCAATTCCTTCAATGCAGCTGCACTCTCCCCACTTCCTCCCTGTGATTTTTGTTTCCACTAATCCTTTCTTACCCCTTCCCAGCCTTCTGAGTTTCTTTCCCCTGGGGCAAATGCTGCCCTTTTTTGATGTTGTATGGTGGGTTCTTCTAAGGAGTGAGTTTCTCCTTGATGTTATTGTTCCCCCTTGTTGTTGTTGTAAAGTGTCGTCGAGTCGTAGGCGACTTATAGCGACCCTATGAACGAAAGTCTTAGACACCTGTATAACTTTCATCCTTTCTCCAGGTTCATAGGGTTTCCAGAGGTAAACTGTTATGGAAGTGGATGCCACTCCTGCTCCCAACTTGTTTTAATCGGGCAGCTCCACCAAACACTGTCCACCACGGGTGACCATTCTCGCTTTTGAGTCATCAGTGTCACAGTGTTCGGCTTCACAGCAACCACAAGTTACCTCTGTAGGCTTATCTATTCTTTGGTTGAGAGATGGGCCCTGGGGAGTGAGTTTACATCCAGTCCTGAGAGATGTCTAAGGGCCATGATCCTGGGCGTTCCTCCAGTTTCTGTCAAACTTGATCTTTTGTGTTAAAGTTTTGTGCCACGCTTTTCTCTCCCTCTCTCCAGGACATCTTCTTCTGGTGCTTTCAGAGTGGTGGATAGTGGTAGCCGGGCCCCATGTAGTTCTTCTGGTCTCGGGGTCATGGAGGTTGAGGTTCGCATGGCCCATTAGTTGTTCCATAGGGTTTTCTCAGCTACAGCTTTACAACCAGACTTTTCTGTGAGCCCACTAAGTGGATTTGAACCTGCGGCCTTTCAGTTCCCTGTCGAGGTTTTTAACCGCCAAGTCACCAAGTCTACCTTATTAAAAGCATGAGCAGTAGCAAGAGACACAAGTGATGCCAAACATTAGCTCTGGAAGCAGAGATGATGTTGTTGTTGCTGTTATGTGTTGTCAAGTCATGTGCGACTCATAGCGACCCTGTGTGCAGCAGCCGAAACCCTGTTCTATCCTGTGCCAATCTTATTGTCTCTGACACACCCATCCTGATTACCCCAGTCACTGAATCAATCCACCTGTTCGAGGCTCTCCCTCTCCTGCGCCATCCCTCCACCCTCCCAAGCATGACATCCCTCTCCAAGGACCAGTCCCTCCTTGCAACATGTCCAAAGTATGTTAGACGAAGCTTCAGAATTCTTGCCTCCAAGGAGCAGCCTGGCTTCACTCTCTCTAGAACAAACTTACTTGTTCTCCTAGCAATCTATGATATATGCAACACTCTTCTCCAGCACCACAGCTCAAAGGCATCAACTCTCCTTCTATCATCCCTAGTCATTGTCCAGCTTTCTTATGCACAGCAAGTAGCTGGGTTCAAATCCAGACTTTGCCAGCTCCTAGCCATCTAACCTTGGGCAATTGACCTCAGCTTTGTTTTTCTTCTTTTCCTGTGATCTGAGTGAAATTTTACAAATCACGTTGGTTTTTCATGCAACTATCCATCCATCATCTCTACTTTGTCTTATAGTTTTAACTGCAATTAATGAATGTAATTAAGTACAGTGTCTGACCAGCCCCTTATTGAATATTACTTTTCCCTTCCCACATCTTGATAAGTGCCTGTTTTCTACTTATTAATTTTTACTTTCCATTCCCGCCCTTCCCATCCTTGGTAACCATCCAAGAATGAGTCTATCTATGTGCAAATCTTTCTTTAGCTTTTCTTAATAGTGGCCTTCTACAATATGTGTCCTTTTGTGACTGACCCCTGTTCATGTCCATAGAGGGTTTTGCTAACATCCCAAAGGCTGGGCCTCTCTGGAAGTTAAAATTCGCTAAATGCAACTTTAGAGAAAGACGTCAAATCTCCCAGACGATTAACAGCCAATGGACCGTCGGCGATGAGTCCATTCTGACTTGACAGCAGTAAATTTGAGAGTTTGAGTGTTAAGTTACTCAGGAGATTTTGGCTCTTTGGATCTGGGCCCTCATCAGTAAAGAGGTAGCCAAGAAATCAGGGAGCTCTAGTGGCCTAGTGGCAAGAAGAGTCACTGCAATCCCAGAGGAGAGTGGTTCAAATCCACCACATACTCTGCTGGAGAAGGAGGGACAATCTCCTGTACCGGTCAGATCCGATTTAATGGTACACACATTAAAAAAAATTTTTTTAAAAAAGAGGTAGCCAAGAAGTCAAAAGACATGTTGGATTGGGGGAATCTGCTTACAAGGATCTCTCCATAGTGCCAAAGAGCAAGGATGTCAGTTCAAAGACTAAGATGTACCTGAAGTCATGGTATTGTCAATTACTTCCTGTTCTCCTGAAAGTTGAATAATGAATAAGGAACACTAAAAAAGAATTGTTATGTTGTGTTATGGAGTTACCTGTGAATAGTTGTTGTTATGTGCCGTCGAATCACTTGTGACTCATAGCGACCCTATGTACAACAGCCCTAAACCCTGCTCTATCCTGTGCCGATCTCACTGTCTCCAACACACCCACCCCGATTACCCAAGTCACTGAATCAGTCCACCTCATAGAGGGCCTTCCCCTCCTGCACTGTCCCTCCACCCTCCCAAGCATGACGTCCTTCTCCAAGGACCTGTCTCTCCTTGCAACATGTCCAAAGTATGTCAGACGAAGCCTCAGAATCCTTGCCTCCAAGGAGCAGCCTGGTTTAATCCTCTCCAGGATGAATCTGTTTGTTTTCTTAGCAGTCCATGGTACCCTCAATACTCTTCTCCAGCACCAAACCTGAAAGACATCAATTCTCCTTCTCTCCTCCCTAGTGAATAGAGAGGCCTTTAAATTGCAGTGTTGGGAAAGAGTACTGAATATCCCATAGACCACCAAGAGAATAAACAAGTCTGTCTTGTAGCAAGTGTCACCAGAGTGCTTATTAAAAGCATGTCTGGTGAAACTTCATCTTAATTAATATGCTTTGGGCAAGTCTTCAGGAGAGGCCGGTCCTTGGAAAAATAGACATCATACTGAGAAAAGTGGAGGGTCAGAGAAGAAGACCTTCAACAAAAGTAGTGACTGTCTGTGTAACTATTACAGTTGCACAGTGACTATAACAATGAACTTGAGCATATCAGAGATGAGAAGACGGGCAGGGCGAGGTTCAGATTTGTTGTTCATAGGGTTGCTATGACTTGTAGTCAACTCAACGGCACATAAGAACTACAGCAAAGACACAGGTCAGAAAAGAGCTGTCCCACAGGATTCCCAAGGCTGTAAATTTTATCAGGAGTAGGCTGCCTTATCTTTTCTTTTTTTCTCCAGGGGGGTTGGTGAGCTTGAGCCACACTGATCTTTCAGTTAGCAGCTCTGCCACCAGGAAGTGATTAAACCCAAATCCCACTGCTGTCAAGTTGATCCTATTGTGTCTTCTGTACACTGGGTTTCTCACAACATAAATCTTTAAAGAAGATTCCCCTGTCTTTCTTCTCCCTAGGAGGAGCTGGTGGGTTTGAACCACTGGCCTTTCAATGAGCCATTCGATGCTTAACCACAGCATCACTAGGCCTCCTCGGAGGTGATGTTGTTGTTAGGTGCTGTTGAGTATGACTCAATGATGTAATCGTATTCCAATCTCTCCTCTAGATCAAAGGGAGGTGAACAGAGGTGGAGGGGAAGGCCTGGGAGGAAAATGGAAAAGATTAAGTGAGGAGAAGAGTGGGTGAGATGGCAGGAGCAATGGTGGCTGTTTTGTCATCTGAGTCCACATACCCAGGGAAGCTCTGAGGCCAGTTACAGAACAAGTGAGGGATAACGTGTGGCCAGGGCAGAGGACAGAGTGTAGCCCCAATGCCTCTCCATGTCCCCACTGGATCCTTGATGGCTGGAATGCAGAAATTACATCATTCCCCCAACCCCAAATATTTATGTAGGAGCTATCTGCTATGTATTGGGACTTGTGGGCAGGCTGGGTGTGTAAGACCAAGAACAGAAGCATAAAAATGTTCTATGCCCCCTGTCATCTTTCTACCCCCTCAGTGCTTAGCATTGGGGAAGGAGGCTTCTGGGAAGGCCAAGTCAAAGGACGTATTGGCTGGTTTCCCTCGGACTGCCTGGAGGAGGTGGCCAACCGCTCCCAGGAGGGAAAGCAAGGTAATGAGGGACCTCTGTCAATGCTCTTTTATTTCTCCCCTACAGAGAGGGAAGCAGAGAGGTGGGTAGGCCTGTGTCTTTGAGAGCGAGGGTCCAATGCTGTGTTTTGTCCCCCTCTCTGCAGAAAGCCGCAGTGACAAGGCGAAGAGGCTGTTCCGACACTATACTGTGGGCTCCTACGACAGCTTCGACGCCCCAAGGTAAAGGTCCTCACACTCCTGGTGGTAGGCACCCACTACCGTCACACTCCGCAGGCCCTCAAGGTCCTCTTTTTCCTCTGTTCCTTCCAGGATTGATTGGCTAGAGGGATGGGGGTGGGGTGGGAGGAGGTCAGGTTAATTCAGACAAGCACAGCCCCTGCTCCTCCCCAGACAGACCATCCTGGGCAGCTGGGATGATTACCAGCCCCAGTGACCAGTCAGTGTGGAGAGCAGGAGTTCAGGGGTGCCCCCTGGTGTGGAGATGTTTGAGGACCCAGAGCCAAGTGTGTGTGGCTGGCAGGAGTTGAAGTCATGTACAGAGGGAATGAGTGTGCTGGGGAGCTGGGTGGGTGTTGGTAGGGCAGGGCAGGGATGGGCAGACAGAGCTGAGCTGGGCTGGGCTGGGCTGGGCAGGGCTGGGCAGGGCTGGACTGGGAGTGGAGAGGGTCTACTGACGCCTTTCCCCTCCCTGGCTGCTGGCTGATTCGCTTCGGAAGCTTGATGGATGGGATTGGCGCAGGGAGGTGAGAGGGGTGGGGCAGGGAGGGCACGAGGGTCAGGCACGGGAAGGAAGGGGGTGCCTTGTGGGGGAAGTGTGAGCGTGTGCACGCACGCACGCGCGTGTGCACGACCTAAGCTGAAGCTTCCCTGCCCCTCGCGCGAGGCGCTAGTCCTCATCCTGACTCCCCCCTGGGGTGTCCTTGCCTGTGCGTCTCTGTGCGTGCGCATGGTCCCTGTTCGCTTGCATGTGTGACAGCAAGACCCTCACCTGGACGTGCGTCCCTGTCAGTTCTCGGGTGGGAATATTTGTGGCTTTGCATACCTGTTCCTGGGAGTCGGGGGGGGGGATGGGGAGAGGTCGCCAGCAGGGTGTGTCCAGACACCTTCAGGGGCTGGTGAATCGTGCACACCCCTGCTCCCTTCCCTCTCTGTGCATGCCGCCGTGCGCGCGCGCACCCGCACGGCAGTCAAAGCGTGTGTGCATGCGTTTGTATCTGTCTGATGGATCTGGACTTTGTGGCTGGGATGTTTTCTGGGGAGGGGGTGGGAGGAGGAAGAAGTGAAGGGGGGGACTCCAGAGCTTGGGTTTCCAAGAGGGCAGGGTTGTGGGAAAAGGCTGGTCAGCATAATTTGGTGTCCAATATATAATACCTTTCCTCATCCCTCACCCCCCACAATCCAGGGAAGCCCCCCACCTTGTTCGTAGCATCCTTCCATTAAATGTGTCCAAACCTTTGTGTCTGTGTCCTGGCCATGGGAAGGGGGAGATCAGGGGGTGGAGGGAAGAAAAATAGCATCATGGAAGTGGGGGAGGACGGACGAGGGGGTGCCACCTTGCACCCTGAGTGTCTGAGGCGCTTGACTGTGGTGCGTGTTCGCTGGGCACAGCTCTGACTGCTTTGGGTGTCCGGGTGAGTATCGAGTTACCCCCAAGCCCATCAGCTTCTGTTTCTGTGAGGCGCTGGAGCTTGTCCTCCGCAGGACTGAGGGTCAGTTGTTGCACCAGCTGCGTGGGAGTGATGACTCTCCGCCTCTGCTTCTTCCTTCCCCACCCCTTGCTCAGTCCTCCTTACAGGTGTCTGCTCCCCGGTGCTGCTCTCTTAGGGGTCCTGGAGCGCCCCCTCCCCTTGCCCTGCCCTCGGTTGCCCGTGGTTGCTGCGTGCGTGAGTGCGCGGTTGTGCTCTGCCACTCAGCAAGGCGCTCTCTCCCCTGCACCCATGCCTTAGGGTCCAACTGTGGTACCGGCTCCGGGCGAGCGCCCCACTTGCTCGCGCGCTCTCTCTCTCTCTCTGTCCATGGCCCCCCTCTGTGAGGTCTGCTGTGTGGCTGTCCCTCCGCCTGGCCTTCTCCGGGGGCAGGTCTCTCACTGCCTGGGGCCCAAGGCCTGGCCTTCTTTTCGCTGCCCTTCTAGACTCCGTTGCGGACGTGAACGTAGTAGGCCGGGTTGTGGTGGTGATGGCGTGGTGGTGGGCTGCCAGTCCCCTGGGGGGGGGGCCGCTGTCGCCCAGGGGCATCTCTGCGCAGCCAGCGGGGCTTGGTCGGCGCGTCCCTGCACGCGGTCGCGAGGCGTCTGTGTGATGTGTGCGTCCCTCTCTCCGCGCTCCCTCGCTCTGCACCTGCGCGGGAGGGTTCTGGGGGGGAGGGAGGCTAAAGGGGGGGCCCAGACCGGAAGTGCCTCCCCCTTCTCCTCCTC